CTCCATCAGAAATAGAGGGGGGGAAAGGAATATTAATATAATCAATTCATAATTGTTAATTAACACATTTTCGAGCTTGTAGAATGTGCAGAATGTCACTCTCAGAGGAAATCTGGCCAGCTGCAGCAAAACCATGACCGGCCTTACTATGGCCAGGGGAGAGGAGGAAAGGGGAAATATAACAACTGTAAGAAATATTAAAAATGCTTATATATATATATATTATGACACATTGTCTTATATTTGCTTTGAATATATATCCGTGCATCTATAGTGCTTTACAACTTAAAAAAACTATAAAGCCTACACACACATATATATAAATACTAGCCAAATGCATTGCATATGCATGCATGCATAAAAGTCATGTGGTTACAAAATCCAGTCCATGCACCATACCAGTATAGTTCAGTAGTCCCTCTAATCCAGTGTTTACAGGTTCCCCATATAGCTACAAGGTATAAATATAGTAGCTCTCTCTCTCTCTCTGTATGTATGTATATATATATGTATTATAAGCATATATATAACATGTGGTATGTTGATCACTATGCATCATAGTGATTATACATGCTGTACCATCATCATCATGTGCCGTCTTCTTCAGGAAGGTTGACTGTCACAATCCTCCACTTCTGTCTGTTCTGTGCTTTTCTCACCAGGTATTCATGTTTTGCTATCTCAGTTCACTCTTTAATATTTGTTATCCACTCTGTTCTTGGTCTTCCCCTGTATTTTTTCCCTTCTATTTGACTCTCTAGTAGGACTCACTGGATGTTGTCTCATCTCATCATATGGCCAAAATATCTTACATTTCTCTTCTTCATGGTTGGTACAACATATCTTTTCACATTCACAATACTGAGAGCTTCTTCATTTGTTACCTTGTCTATCCAGGATATTTTCATCACCTTTCTGTACACCCACATGTCAAATCCTTCCAGTTTGTTAATCAATGCTTGTGTGTCCATGTTTCACAGCCATATAACAGAGTTGACCATATATAGCACTTTATGATTCTCTTCCTTGTTTTAACTCTTATGTTTTTTGATATTAGACTTATTTTTATACTATTAAAGGCACCTCTTGCCACCTCAATCCTCTTCACTATTTGAGCTTCACATTTTCCATCACCTATTATGGTCTGGCCCAAGTATGTGAATTTCTCTACTTGTTGTATGTCTTTTTCTTCTAATTTGATCTGAATTTCTGGCTTATTATCATGTCTACTTATCATCATACTCATTGTCTTCTTAGCATTCATTTTCATTCCATACCTCTTTCCTGTATAATTTACATTATTCAAAATATCTTGTAAGTCTTGTTCTGTTTCAGCCATCAGTACAGTGTCATCAGCATATCTTAAATTGTATATCATCATGCTACCAATCTTAATACCTTTTTTTACTCTCAATGCTATGAAAGAAGTTTTCTGTGTACAAATTAAATAGACATGGGGAAAGAACACATCCTTAGTGTAGTTCTCTTTTAATTTGTATTTCTGGCAATAATCCCTCTTTGGTCCTAATGAATGCATTTTGGTTCCAATACAAATTTTGTATCAACTACAGATCTTTGCTGCCTATATCTAGGCTTTTCAAGCATTCTATCAACTTTTAATGGTTGACTCTGTCGAAAGCTTTTTCATAATCAATGAAGCACACATATACATCATCTTTCTACTATTATTCTTAAATTGAAGATTCCTTTCCTTGTTCTTTTTCGTGTCATAAATCCACTTTGCGCTTCATATATTCCTTCTTCAATTGTTCGTTGGTTTCTCTGTAGTATGATCTTCAATGTGACTCATCAGATTTAGTGTCCTGTAATTTGAACAGTTTGTGACTTTTGCTTTCTTTGGTATTCTGACAAATATCGAATCATTCATATCAGATGGAATGTATCCAGAATCGTAAACAAGGTAACACACCTCTGTAATTTTCTTCAATCCTGCATCGTCTAAGGCTTTCAACATTTCTGTAGTGATGTCATCATTTCCACTTGCTTTGCCACTTTTCATAGCTTCAATAACCTTTTCTACTTCTAGCTTCTTGATGGCCCTACCTTCCTGGTTGTCAATATTAGGTGGATCTCCTCTCTCATCGTAATATAGTTCATTCACATACTCGACCAATTTGTTAGTAATTTCTTCTGAATCAAACAGCATCTTTTCACTGCCAATGATAACATTGCTGCAGTGATATCAGAAGCAATAGGCATCCATTGTACATGAAGCCAATCCAAAGGTTGACATTGTTTCCCGAGAGAACATCATACATCAACTATGTATTTCATTAAACTAAACTATTTTAAATAGGACAGTATTACTAATATACAGATTTATGTTTATGATGGACATAAAATACTAAACAAACAAGAATATTACAAATTGTTAATTTAAAAAGGGGAATAGGGATCTTCAAAAATTACACAAACAAGATAGGTAGCTTAAAGTGAAAATGCTATCACTAAAACAAATAAACAAACAAGCTTAAGGTTTGAGATATAGTGTTGACATTATTTCCTCAATCTAAAATTCCCTGTTTTGACTTCATATCTAATAACTGTAATACTTAGGAGAGTCAAAATAGGGATTTGTAGCTTGAGAAAATGATTTCAACACTATGTCTCAAACATTAACCTTTTGAAGACCCTTATTCCCCCTTTTTAAATTAACAGTGTTTGATAATCTTGTTACAAATATCAGGAGATTAAACTCTCCCTATTTTAAATTTTTGGGACACCCAATCAGTGATGTCGGTAGTACCTGCACTTTGAGAGGGATGATGTTATTACTTTTGTCTATATGTCTTATGCTCTCAGTCTGTTATTCCCTTAGACTAAGATAGAGAATTCCAAAGCCACTCTCTCTCTGTGATTAAGAAACACCATCTGACATTCATTTTCACTCATCCTTTTAGTTGCTGGTGTTTGATAAATATAATTTGATTTTACTTCATAAAATTTTAAAGTTACAAAAAGGAGCTTATTAGCCCATCAAGGGTGTCCCTTCCAGTTCCCAACTATAACTACTCCTGACTATTCATGTATTCATCCAGTCTGTTTTTGAACTTTTGGCTCCACCACCGTTGAAGGCAGCTCATTCCAAAAGCCAACCACTCTGTTTCAAAAATAATACTGTCTAAACTGCAGATGTCTCCTCCACTGCCAAAATTTTAATAATTGATCCTTGTCTTAATGTTCTCACTGCTAAACACAAAAAAGGTTAATGAATCTATATAATCAATACCCTTAATAATCTTAAGCGCTTTAATCAAATCCCATCTGACCCTTCTCCTCTCCAGAGAAAACAAGTTTTAAGATTTTAGTCTCTCCTCATAGGACAATCCCACCATTCCAGGTATCATCTAAGTGGCTCTTCTCTGAACCTTCTTCAACAATTCAATGTCCTTCTTGAGAAAGGGAGCCCAAAATTGTACACAGAACTTTAAATGAGGCCTTACAAGTGATCTATACAGTGAAACAATTATATCCCTTGTCTTGTATTCAATATTTCTATAGATGCTACCCAAAATCCTATTAGCCCTATTGCTAGCTACAATACACCGTATAGTAAACTTAAGTGAGTTTTCAATCACAACACCATGTTTAATATTGTATCCAATGCCTTTTTTTTTCCCAACTAAGTCAAGTCAACTTTTCAGTTTTGAACTTCATTTTATGTATCCTGACTGTTCCTTCTGTTATTTTGCAGTTACTGTTTGAAAAATAAATCAGCAAATCTGAGAATGCCACATATTACCATCATATTGTAGGCTTCTTTACTACTGTCTGTGATCTTTATTTGCTGATTTCAAAAATTTTTTAGACATGCATGATTTATTTAAAGCATGCACAAATTTTACAAATAGGAAATCTTTGTGTAGTATTAACCTTATTTTGTCTTCTTGTTACACATGTTCAATGAGTGTGCTCCATTTAGGTGTTTTTGGATGTTTCTAATAAATAGTGTTGGTGAAGATTTATTTTTGGATTTTAATTGTGCCTGCTTTCTCTCTTGTTTATATTTAGAAATACCTGGAGATTAAACTCTCTCTGTTTTCACTTTTGGAACAACCACCAATGAAGTGGGTAGCCATGCACTCTGAGAGGGATTATGTTACATTTTTTGTCAATATGTCATGTGATCTTAGTATATTATTTCTTCAGGTTTAGACAGAAAATTCCAATGTCTCTCTCTGTAATATGAAACACCATCTGACATTCTGTTTGCTCTTCTTTTAGTTGTTGGTGTTTGATATATAAAGATTGATTTTACTTAGTTTAACATTGTATTCAGTCAGTTTTAACTCTGTGTGACTTATCCTTACTGTTCCTCCTGTTATTTGCAGTTATTACCAGAAAGGTTAAATAGGCGAACTTGAGAATATCACACAGTACCATTATAGTGTAGGCTTCTTTGTACTGTTCTCTATAATCTTCATGAACTGATTTGAAGTCTGTTGCTCTTCATACAATATCTAGGCCATGTGTGCAAATAACTTTGGACATAGAATTATATTTTGTTATCCATGAATAATTAGATCTCTTTACAATGCATGTTGTGTCAAAGCAATATTGATTTAAAATTAGTTGTTTCTGGTTTAGTTTATATATATCTAAGATTTTAAAGAAAGAGTAGTGATCAGACTATGCTGATGTTTTTCCATTATTTTATGGATGTAAGTGGAAAACCTGACAGTGCTGAAATGGCCTTGTCTAGTCCTTGCTGTTTCTTCTCGACTTACAATGCAACACTATCCAATACTACACTTTATTTTGTTGTTTAACAATTTATTCACAAGTATTGTAATTTCAATATTGTATATAATACAAATATACATAACATTCATTGTACCTTGTGTAGAGTATAGTTGCTGTTATTATTATTGCATTTAATTGAGACAATTATTTATTGTTGCATGAATAATGAAGCTATATATTTATTTACATTAAGTAAAAATGGTGTATCATAAATCTCTTTGTTGGCCCTCTAATAGTGTAAAGGAAAGCCACCAGATGGCTGAAGTTAACAGAGAAGAGAATGACAAATTGAAAGAAACTTTAGGTATGTGTGAACATTTCATTGAAGATGGCTCCATAGACACAGCACACAGACAGAAAAAAGACCAGAATAAATACATGTAAGTAATGTGTTATGTGTTGATAGGAGTTTAAAATTGTTTAAATGGCATAGATATTTGAACTAATTAAGAGACACAATTTTTACGCATCCTATAAAAGATGTAAATGCTATATTGAATTGAATCTGACTCATAAATTGTCTTCAGGGCCATCTCTATTTTGATATTTTTTGTCTTTCTATTACTATACATTGCAGTGTTAATGCTGGCCACTAGATAAAACCAGTTATTAACTCATGAAGTTATATTTTGTGATAAGCTTAGCAGGATCTTTAATTTTAGTTCAGCTTATTGAATTACAGACTATAAAATCATACTTCAGGTTCATGAAGTAGAAATGCTTATGTTACAAAATAGCCAAATCTGCACTTGTAAGACACATAACTGATAATTAAGATGATATTCTGCTGACACTGAACCGTGTTTGTTGTTGAAATCAGAGAGTCACCCAGTTGTTGTTTTGTTTATTGCTTGAATTTTCTTTATGGTAGTTTGGTTCTTGATTCCATTAGCTCATCTTCTCCAGAAAGAGAGAAAGGAAAAATCCCAATAAAGTATGAAGAAAAGTGAGTATAAATTTAAATTTTATCTTGTATAGATGTCAATTTTTGGGATATTAATATAAATGACTCAAAATTGATTTAAAAGAAGTAGGTTTAAGTTGTTTCTAGCACACTGTGGTTGCAGATGAAGCAGTTTATACTAGTAAACAGTGTATAAGGTATTAATAAACATTTATTACTAACCTCAGATTAAGCTGCTGTTATAGCACAATCAGCAATACAATAATGCCATTATACTCAAAGTAGACTGTTGATGTAGCACAATCAAACCACACAGCATTGTTGGTACAAGGTGATGCAAAAGTTGTGCACCATCATGATTTTTCTATCTCTTGCACTTACAGCTGTTCAAAGTGTGTACCTTGTTATTACAGGATTGCTTTTACAATCTAATGCAAAGTTAATGACATCACAATCAATTATTGTAATAAAAGAGCAAGGTAAACACAAATATAACATAGAAAAATAATACTAAGAGAGGAGATAAGAATATCATGGTGGTTAACATGACAAAATCAACCAAAATAAGAGCAAATGTAGGAAACAAGGTCTATTTACATGCAAAAGTGTGTATGTGTGTATATAGATGAAAGGATTAAAAGTTTCTGTGTCCATGAAAATCTATTTATAAAGTAAATCCTCTGGTCTATTGATAATGTGATTAGTTTAAATTCATTTTAAAAACTCTGTCTCCTGTAGAGTTTCTCTGATTTGTTATTGTCAGTTTAAAAACTCAAAATCTGAAGAAATAATTTAAGCAAACTAAAATGAATAGTTAATGGAGAAAACAAAATTTTCTTCATGTGAATAAACTGTCCAACATGATTAATCATTTAAGTAATCTTAATGTTTATTAATTGCATGGCTATTTTAAGTACAAATTGATAAAATAATGTATTGTATTCTTCAGAGATGGAAAAGTGTTACATGGCAAAAAACGAAGAACTAAGAAATATTATAAAGAAAGGTGAGTTTGTAACTTAGTCAATTTCTAGCAGTGAAGTTGTATCACTAATTATGTATTGATGTGATACAGCTAAAACATAAGAGATTTTCACCATATGACTTGGTTTATAACTTTTTTAAATATTATGAATTTAATTAAAAGTGCAAATTAATTAGTTTATTTCCTTGCTTTCAATGGTAAATAAGTATACAAAAATTAGTCAGGAAAAGTATAATGAGTTTTACAATACCAACCTTGGTGCAGCCAAAACTAGGTATTATACATGTCATTGAGATGCATTATAATTTTAACTTTGCCCAAACTTCAGAGCAGTAGCACATTATTTAGAGGGATATGTTGAAGTATGAAACAAATGAGTTCATATCCAACAAATACCATACCATGAGCAGTATTTTTAAGCTTTCACCATCCTACTAGATTGTCGATAGAGAATGTTATCCAAAGGAGTTTTGTATATCTTTCAGTGTGAAAAATAGCTTCATATAGCTTTTGTTTGAAAAAATACCTTTATAACCCTTTGTAATAAAAAAATTGCTTTGAGAGTACAAACAAGATATATATTATTTTATAAAATTATAAACTGCTTGATTTATTAATAAAGAAATTTCTGCACATTACCAATATATATTGCCTTTCAGTTTTAAAAGAGTATAGTAAGAACTAAACGGTTTTCCTTGTTTTAGTTGGTAGGTACCAGCAATCTTTCTATGTTATAATTATCATTCTGGTATGTAGGTTACACAGATGGTGAATAGTTGTTTTAAAACTGTAAGATAAATTTTAGTACAACATCTCATTTTCTGTTTTTTATTTAATTATTTGTTTTAAGCTTTCATATTTCATTTACATAAAAAATCTTGATATATTTATTATCAGAAATATTCAACAAATCACAGTAGTTAGGATATTATTACACTTTTAAGTAACTCTAAATGTATATATTTGTTTTGATTTGTCTTTTGATATCCATATTTTTATTCCAAATATATTTAAGAGCATATATCAGGTATATTGTGCCATTTATTTTTTTTACAGTGTGTTTTCTTCTGTTTTTATTACTGTTTATCTTCACATGCAGAATCTTACTTTACTCTTTTCTTGTGATGGTATATTGATATATGTATATATATATATAAGATTTAGGCTTGTAGTGTATCTGGTAACAAACATTATTTATCGAGTTTGTGTTTTATTATAGTTACTGTACTTAAAGTGATGGTGGCAAATAAACATATCCATAATGTTACTCAATGCAATAATGTATGATAAATACTGACTGTATTTATGTTTCTAAGACTAAAATAATTTCTATGCTTATATTAGTTTCTGCTCTTTCGAAATGGGTAAAAAGAATGAGGTGAGATATTAAGAAAACATTTAATTATAAGTGTGGATTATTTTTATTTATGAACTCTGGAACAAATTGAAAATTTTTGTTTTCCATATGATAATAAAGATATAACATGTAAAAATATTTTAAAGATGTAAATAGGTTCTATGGATAATAAAATTATTTCAAACTATTTATTTTTGTTAATACATCACACTGAAATAGAAAAGTTCTTCATAAATGTTGTTAATATGTTTAATTTTAATATCTAGATCCTTAAATGAAAATGATTATTGTTCTTAAGATGAAAAGTTTGGTCACTGAAAAAACAAACTTACAAATCTTAAAACACTTTAGTTGGTATAAAATTAAGATTTACTTTTATACAGCAAAGTATTGTGTGTATGGTTTTTCTATCAATATTTTTTCTTTTGTTTAAATGTTTTGTATTAACTAAACCTTGAATTTAAGTTTCATGTTTAACTGAAAAACTGTCATATTCTTCGTGATTTAGAGACCAAACTAGTTTCCACCACTAATAGGGATTTTTGTTTTGAAAACACACGTTTTTAAACTGTTAATTTTAACAATGTTGTTAAAGTAAAAATATAGGTAATAAATTAACGTTTGAAATTAAAAGGAGATATTGTTCATTTGTTAAGTAGAAACAAAACCTCCATTTGCCTTTGTGGGCCCTCTATGAATATTGGAGTGGGATCTCCAACTTAACATTAACAATCAAAAATAAAGGGTCATTAAAATGAAATATTGGTTCTCAAGCAATTCTCTGTTTAGATAACATCTAAAAATCTGTCACCAATATTATATTTTCAAAGAAAATTTTCATAAGCAATTTTCTATGAAAAAGCTATATATATATATTTCCTTTGAAGTTAGCAATTCAAAATGCAAATTATATACATTAATTTAAACCAATTGGTGTCAAAATATAATTACCTAAAAATTTTATTTTATTTTCTAATTTTCTTAGCTGAAAAAGAGTCTATAATTGTACCGTAATTAAACTTTGTTCAAGCTGGTGTTTAATAGATACTATGTCCAAATTACTTAATTGTTCTTCTGACATAGTGATATGTAAGTATGTTGTTATAAGTTTTAGCTTTGAGAAAGAGCACATAAGCAACTGTGACAGGCATGGTGAGAAGTATACCTAATGCTATGGATACATTTGGGTATGTGTCAGTCAATCCATGCTCTGTAATATAGCTTAAAGTTTTCAATGCAAAACTTCCTGCAGAAACTGAATGATGCAAGATTTTAATTTTGTCACACAATTCAACTGGATCAATGTTACTGCTTGTGGGATCTGAAAGTAAAGTATGAAGTTTCATACAGTTTTTGAGAAGTTCCTTATCACTTGTTGATATTGTCTTAGAAATATCAAAGCTAACTTTAAAAGGCATCAATGTATCTTTTAGCTGTTTGAATTGTTCTCTGAGAGCAATAGTAGATATGTCAATTAGATGAAGAAAAACTTCTACCCTGAACTTTTCCTTCTGGTTCATGATGGGTTCATCTGTTGCACTTTTGTGTGTTTCACAATGTCACGACCCTCATTGAACGTAGGATCTGATATTGTTTCTGGCATCAGATTTTTTGCTGTCTTTATGGCATCTTCAAAGCCTACATCACAATAATTCAACAGCTCAGCAGTGCACCTATGAATTGAGTCAAGAGCAGTATCAAGTTGCATATCCTTGGATTGTAGAATTTTGCTGACACGGTTTATTTTAGTTCGGACGTCATACCATACAACTAGGCATACAAGAAAACAAAATTTTTCAATTTCTTTGAATCTTTACCTTTAGAATCTTCAGATACCTTCTCAAGAGCAGATTTGATGTCTTGTAGTTGGTAGCGTATGACTTTGATGGCATTCACTTTGCATTCCCATCTCGTTTCTAAAAAAACCCTTTACTGAAATATTTGTATGTTGCTTTAAAATGTCCCACCTACAAGTTGAAGCCAAAATCAATGTATAGATTTTTTGTATGAATCCAAAAACTGAAATGGATACAAGCAATGACTGGGTGGCATCTGAAATGACTAGATTAAGACTATGTGTATTGCATGAAACATAAAATACTTTTGGATTTATTTTTAATACACACGTTTGCAATCCTGAATGTTTTCCTTTCATATTACTCCCATTGTCATACCCTTGACCTTTGCAATCACATAATGACAGCCCAAAGTTCTTATATATTTGCAGCAGTTCCTCTGTCAATCTAGCACCAGTTGTGTCTTTCACTTTGATGAAGGTAAAAAAAATGCACACACACACACACTTTGGAGTCAAATCCGTCTTGTGCTGTAACAGACCTTATGATAACTGAAAGTTGTTTTTTTTTACTCATGTCAGGAGTGCAGTCAAGCATTATGGAATAATACTTTGATGCTGCTACTCTAACCAATATTTCTTCCCTTATTTTATCAGTTAACAGTTCGAGAATCTCATTTTGCATGTTAGAACTCATATAATGACCTTTTGTTTCTTGTAAGCCTATGCGTCTGACATGCTCTTTCATTATTGGATCAAATCATGCTAGTAACTCTTTTTGCACTAGAAAATTGCCATTGTTTGGTTGGTACAACTGTCTGGATGATCCTAAAAATGATAAATTTCTTTCTGCCAAGCTACGTATAATGGCAATCAGCCATTCTAGAACATTTCTCCAATGTTGCTTTTCAATATTCAGCAAAGTTTGTTGCTCATCATCAATTGTCTTTCCCTATTTTAATCTAGCATCAAATTCTTTCCATTTTTCCATGCACTTTACATGTTCTGGAAGTATTTCTTGGTTAGAAAGTGTCTTAGACATGTCATCCCAGGCAGAAAATCCCATGTTTGTAAGCTGGATTATTGTATTTCCGAATATCTGCAGCAATAGCAAAATAGTGCATCTCAAAAAACTGCATAAATAAGCCACATTTCCTAATGTTGCTCATCATTTATATATTTCCTATAGTAATTGTTTACAGTAAATCATCTATTATTTTTATTAGTTGAGAAAGAAAAATTCTTTATTCTCTTAGGTTCAACCTTTACTATTTCATAGATAGTAGGATTTTCAAACAAATCTGGCCATTTTGATGGATCAGAAAAATCATCAGTATCAGAGTTGGATGTAGAAACATAACTGCTGTTCATGTTGATCTGATTTTACCAGTTCCTGAGGTTCAGTTAATACTAATTTAGGATCACTAGTTGTATGATGTCATTTACTTGATCCAACATTAACTTTGTCATTTCCTGTGTTTGGGAGGATAATGAGCTTGGTGGTGATATATAAGCTGCATTACTACCACTGCTAGGCCTAGTAGTACAAGGTACAGACAATCTTGACTTTTTTTTTAAACTTTTTATAGAATCTTCAAGCTTGGTCTTCTCAATCTCCTTTTCTTTAATTTTTTTTTACATTTTTTTGTTGCACTGGAATCATAATGTCGTATGCATCTATGTTTATGTCTATCACTGCTCATCTTTACAATCCAATCAGTAATAGAAACACCACAAGAATATATATATTATTTTTAATTATATTTTAATATCTTTTTTAATTATATATAGTATCAGTTCAGCTTTAAACATGGTCGTTTGTATTTTGTAATTGCTCTGTAAAGTTGAATGAACTATGTTTGTACTCATGTGCTGTAATTCTATTTGCTACTTCAGTGTTTATTTCAATTTAAATGTTCACTTTGTGTCAAACTTAGCTTTGACCAAAATTTATCAGTGTTTAAGTGCTTTGTGTATCTATTTATTGCCTTTTTATTTTATTTCACTAAGTTTTATTTATTTAACAAGTAAAGAGTGTTTGCTGTTTCTGTTTATTTAGTAAACCTGATATTGGGATGCTTATTACTTAAAACCAGATAAGGGTGGTGGGAATTGTTATAATGAATAGGTCAGAATATGTTGATAAAAGGAATAAAATTATAAATGATAGGTCTAAGCTCATTCCTGTTTCTACTTCTGTATGCAAAATTATCACGAATATTGAGGCCAAGCTTAACCGTTTTTTGATTAAGCTTAAAAACAGTAATGTAATTGATGACTCTCTTTGTATCATAGGCTATACTTATATTATTAGTTACAGGTGGAACTGTGGACAACTGTACCTGCAGGATTCAAATGACTAATGAGGTTAACAGTTGCTTGTTCTGATCAAAATTAATACCAATATATACAAATATAAATATGATTTACTTACAGTTCAAATCAATACTTGGAAATACTATCAATTTGATTCTTGGTAGGACAGTGGCATTTAACTGTCTTTAAACTTAAAGTTTATGATTATGTTGTGTACTGTTGCGTGGAGCACTTGGATGGGTTTTGCACTGTCCTTTGTGTTTGTGGATTTTTATCTATTGCAAAACACCACACTTTGCCTATTATGGCTGGGATATGATTTGTTGCAGGTCTCTTTCTTTATGGCTCTGTTTCCTTAAGTTGATCCATATTTCTTTGTTTTCCAATATGATTATGAGCAAGGGATATCTCTGTCTTAGAAATTCTAAATTTCGAAACACATCTCCACTGAAAATATAGTTTTATCCCGATAAAAGTTTATCTTTTCTGCCCATCTAAGCATTGGTATGAATCTTACTTCACTTGCTTCAGCCTTTATACCACACTCTATTGCCCAAGGAAAGTTAAATTGTGTGATTCTCTCCACTTATGTCAATGCGCCCCCTATCCCAGATCTGTATATAAGCTCCCTGTTATTACTTCCTAGTCATTCTCTCAACAGAAGAATGTTATGACAATAGTTTTACACGTTTGCTGTGGGTTTCTCTTCAGTGTTGAATGGCTTTAGTTATACCTAAGCTTTAGATAATTCCTTTTTCTTAGACCTTTCTTCTTGAGTCTTGTCTATTTTCTTTATTTTACACAATAAAGAAAGTGAATTTCAATATAAGGGTTTTTCAAAGTGATTTCAGTAATATTTTGTGTTTATTTCTCTTCTTTTTCAGGGACCCTTTTGTCATTTTCATTTGGATCCCACTAAGTGCTGGGTGTTGCCTGGTCAGGTATGCTTCCTTCCAAATCTGCACTAGCTACCAGTCAACCGATAAATTTCCTGGGAGCAACAAGCTCTGTTGAGTTGGGGTGTTCCATAAAACCACCTTGTGTGCTTTCTGGGTGGTAAACAGTTATAACACAAAGACAAATACACTACTGGACAACCACTCATGGACTATGATAAGTAAAGCTTAAGAGGATTTTGCCCATCCCTGCTGACCCCTAGGTTGAATAAATCAGGGTCGGTTTGCTTTTCAAAATAAGGAACGTAGTTCACATATTGCACTGTCGCTGGAGCATCATTCCTTGGAACTCCCCATGGTGAGTATCCCCCCATTTCTCCCAGTGGAGTGTGGGAGTCCTTGTCACTTCAAGTTTCCAGTCAATGGAGTGGTGGACAGAGGTTTATTCCTCTTGAGTAATGCTTGAACTCATTATTCCACTCAAGGAGAAGAGGTCGAAGCTGGGTGCTCTTCTACCAATAACTCTGGATGGTTTTTCCAGATGTATGGTAGGAGCAGGACCAACCTATGTGGGAGTCTCCTCGTAATTCCAGTTCAGAGATGACTCTTCACTGGTTGTGTTGAGCATGACCCTTCTTTTTAGCCATCTTCCTCTTTGTAATGATTATGGAAGAAGGTCATCAACTCCTTGTAATTCTGCACATAGAGCATCAGTTTCTGTGCCATTGGTTCTACTTAGTTTGTTCCGCATCCTACTCGTAATTCTAGGGGCAGGAAGTGTAGCTTTGCCTCTCAGGTTGTGGAGTTAGGATTTCAGTTCATAATCCATGGCCGGGTAATCTCTGTTTGTTCAGATTGAGTGAGGTGTGACAGGTCCTGTAATTCTGAGTTCAGTTTGTTGCATTTTGCACTTCTTCAGGCTGGGGCAAGGGTTTGTCCACTTTTGTGTTGCTTGCCTTCTCTTTGTAATTCCAGTGGCTCGACAGGTAAGATTCTGTAACTTTCAGGTTGGATTCCAATAATACCATGTTACTAAAAAAGACAAAATAAACAGTGGTCCTCATGCCCTAGCCACTATGCCTTGGATCTAGATTTGGGGCCTGAAGAATTAATGTTCTTCTGATGATGTTAGAGTTTTGCCTCTGTGGCTGGTCGGCCTTTACCACCCAGGAATTAGCCTTCTTGTTGTCCAGGTGAAGAGCATACCTGTTTCAGAAGTAGTGAGGATTCCACTAGTGTGCTATTACTATATCTCATTTTATCACATCTTTTTTTCTATGTAGACACTTTCTGTGTGGATCTTGCCCTCTGCCCTCACTGGCTCCTCTCCCTTGTCAATGTGGGATTCTAGCTATAGTGTGAAAAGAGGTGTGTTTTGGAAGTTAACATTCCTGATAATGTTAACTTTCCAGTCTGAAAACATCTTTATAACCTGAGTGTATGAATGTTTTGTGTTGAAAAGGGCTGTTACATATCCTTCCCAGAAGCAATTACTTTTTGGTTGCATAATACTATGTAAAAGATACCAAACAATATCTTAGTGTAATTTAGATATATTCTGTTACACCATAACTTCATATCAGCTGTTTTCATCCTGCTATTTGCTGATTTGCATATTCAAACTTATTTCAATATAATGTACAAAACCTTGGATTTCTCCTTTTGTTTCTTTCAACTGTATGAGAAGAATGTGTGCAAGATCAACGAACACTGTCTAGAACTGATGATTTTTGCAGTAAAATCATTTAAGGAGTTCATTGATATGCTGATTAAGAGAATGATGAAGGCATTTTGACCCTCTTGTGGCAGTTTTTGAAACAACCAATAACAAGTTTTAACTTTCCAGAATAAGACCTATGACTCTCAATGTTCTTCTAACAAAATTTAGTTTCCCTACAACAAGTAACTTTTTTAAGATAGAACAATTTTAAATATGAGGTCTTCTTTATAATGAACCTGTATATGTAAATATTGTTTGTTCATTATATAACAAACACTTTTATAAATTATATTAATTATAAGACTCTTTGTATATATTGTGCTTTAGGTCTATTGTTTTGTATTCATAAATGGTGTTAATGTATTTTTTGAAGCTTACCCATTATAATTTAAAATTAGACTGTCTTGAAAAACGTTTTAATAGTTTTGGTTCAGTTATTTATTTTGTGAAAGATATTTTTACAATTGTTTTGAAAGAATAATTGGAGTTAATTCATTATGTAACATCAAGTTAATTATGTTTGATATAAACTTTGTAAATTGAAAAATTATTTTATGAGAAAAATTAACGATGAAATGATGTTATTATATAATAGAAAATTTTGTAAAATGTTCTGGTGGCTCAGTGTTAAGCTTCAAGGCTTATAACACTAATTTGAGATTTAATCCCTCTGGTGGTTGCATTGCAGATACCCATTTTTTACAGCTTATTACTAAAACACACATTTAGTGTTTTTGTAGATCTGAAGTTTGGTTTGGTGAATGATTTTTATAAATTCGTTTTTAAAAAATGAATAGAGTAGGTATTTAATAATAGATATCATTCTGTAAATCCAACTCATTATTTGTTCTATACACTGTTAGCTTGTTCAAGTGATTGTTAATGTGTGTATTTCTGTTAGGTATGATTAAGTGATTGTTGGTGTATATGTTTCTGCTAGGTATGAATTAGTGAGACTGCCTGACTCAGTATTAGTAGATGTGTAAGGCAACATAAGCTATACATGAACAGTGTGAGAATTATTAGACAGAAACCATTAGAAACTTGTGATAATTATTTTGTGGCTCTTTGTATCAACCTTTATTAGCTTAAAATCATAAAAGATATAAATTTTTTTTTCTGGCAGATCAACTTCTGCGATGTCCTTAAGGAAACGAAAATATTCTGATAAACGCAAAAAAAGGTATTTATTAAAATTTTTACTAGAAGTAAATTGTACTAGTTTCATTCATGAGGTATATGATGAAAAAATGACTTTGTTCAGCACATAAAGATTCTAATTTTTAGGTAAATAAATATGAAAATTGATACTTTCTTACTCTAGTAGCAAAAATCACAGGAAGCATAAGAAGCTCCACAGATCTTCTTCAGAATCCAGTAATTCTTCAACCTCATCTAGTGATAACTCAGACAACAGTCAGTCCAGCTCTAACAGTTCAGGCGAACCTGATAGTAGCAGGTTAGTATAAGTTACCTTGTTGACTTATCATTGCTTGAATTTCCTTTCTTTTTGAGACTCAAAATGATTAATAATTTGTACAAAGCTATTGTCATCTGAAAGAGTCTTTTATAGGTAAGATTTAATTATTATTATTAAAAGTATCTTGTAAGAACTGGCATATAAAAGTTCAGTTAGTGGCTAAAAAGCAACTTAATTTCAGCTATTAAAGCATCTTCATAATATATATCAATATCTTCCTCAGCAGTGTTCCTGTTAAATAATTTCTAGAACAGAGTGGTGAGGTGAAAGTTACCAAGTTTAGGTTTTTACCTCCAAACTTGTGTAGCTTATTGCTAAAACACAAATTTGTTGCTTTTGTAGATCTGAAGTTTGTTTTGGTCAATGATTTTTATAACACAATGTTTCAAAATTAAGTTAATGCTTAGTTATATTGTGACTAAACAAAATGCTTCTACAACCAGAGTCAAAAAGAAAGAAAAGGTAAAATCAATTATGACATAGTAAACTATGGAACCTATTTTCTATGCTATTAGTACAGAACTATATTTATGTCAATTGAACTGACATAATGTGGAAAATTGCCTTCCTAAAAGTTTAAGCTCCTTTGTGTGAGTGCTTTATAAGTTTTAACCAAGAAAGACATCATTGTTTTGTTTTTTCAGTGAACAGGAATTTCAAAGTTTAGAATGTATTTTCAGGTTTTGATTGTCATTTTTCTTGTTCTGCATTTAATCCTGATCTGTTATTATAATATCATTTTTTATGCTCTTAGCTGTAAAATTGTTTTAATTTTGTAGGTTTTTTTGCTGTCAAAAAGATATTAGAAACTAAAGGGATTGTATATTAGAAAATATTAATTTCAAAGTCTACAAATTAGTTTTAACCCATTTGTTAGCTCCTTGTGAAGAAATATAGTTAACCTATTTGTTGAAAGTTTGTTCTCTTATAGTGCACCATTACTGATTACATATCAATTGCCTAAAATAGAAGGAACTGTTGAAAAGAATATGCTTTGAGAAACATATTCTTGTTAATTTATGATCAACATAATTTTTTTTCAACTGACTTTGACACTAATTTAGCTAGCCAACAAAAATACACATTATAGTTTATTTTGCTGGTTAATAAGCACATAATGTATTGACTACGGTACTTCCATTTACAGTTGACAACTCTTCTGGTATGACTTCTCAGGAATTGGGTAGGACTTTATCTACAGAGGAGGTACAGGTCTTAATTCGTAGGGAGCTAGATTCATATGTTTGGCCAGTGATTTCACTTCCTTTTCAACCTGACAATGTTGCTGAGGAAGAATACAATGAAGGATAATACAATTTTGTCTCTTCTTATTATGGTCTGTCACATTCTACATGTCTTCAGGGATTTAAACTTTCACACCATTTTTTACTGCTGGCTACTTAGGTTGATGGTTGATGCATATTAATTTTTATCTGTATGTTTGAGATGAGGGTGATTTCTCTAGTTTTCCTGCTCCTGTTGCCATGCCTCCACGTCATTCACTATGGTTGAGATTTGTTTTTCTCTTCCTTTCGTCCTATTGCTTCCAAATTTCCCAGTGGATTGGTGGTAAGTTTTTGACTTGTACACTTCGAACCTAGTTGCGATACCAGTGGTAGGTGTGTCTCAGATGCCTTTTGTGTGGCTTTGTCCTTCTTTACACATGGGAGAATTAAGTATTTCATGTCGTCAGTGCTCAGACATTGGTAAATTAGATATTTATGTATCCTTTCTCATCTGAGTTAATTTAGATTTATTTTAAGTTACATATTGATTATTACTTTGTTTTCTAGGTAATTTTAGTTGGTTTACATGTTTGTTATTATTATGTGCTTTGTAGACTAGATAAATTTCAATGGTGGTCAGTTCAATATTAATAAGTACTTTGTTCACTGGGTGTGCTCGGCATGGCCAGGTGGTTAGGGCGCTTGACTCGCAATCTAAAGGTTGCGAGTTCGAATCCCCGTCACACTAAACATGCTCGCCCTTTCAGCCTTTTCAATCCCACTATTCGTTGGTAAAAGAGTAGCCCAAGAGTTGGCGGTGGGTGGTGATGACTAGCTGCCTTCCCTCTAGTCTTACACTGCTAAATTAGGGGATGGTTGGCGTCAGGAAGGGCATCCGACCGTAAAAACCCTGCCAACACCAAAAAAAAAAATAGCGACCCCCGTATAGATACGGGAAAAAGCTACAGAAGAAGAAGAAGACTTTGTTCACTGGGTATGTTTAGATAGTTTGTACTTTTCATATAATTTTTACTAGTAACATGTAATTCATTGTTCTATCTGAATAATTTTTTAGATAGTTTGTACTTTTCAT